CGGCTGTCTCACCCCTTCCCTGTTGCCTTCCTGATAGGACTGACTCGCTCCATTCATTTGCAATACTTGCCTGAAGACTTGAGTTTGCCACCCTCTCTTTAGCAGCACAAAAACAACCGAAACTTTGCCGTTTTGGTGTTTTCTTTCCCTCTACCTCTCAACCCGGTTCGGCGTCTGTAAGTGGAAGAACTTATTCTTGCACTGATACGATCTGTGTCTGCAGAAGCAAGTATAGTCAGCTTTTTTGGTTTTAGGCTGTAGCTGTACTTCCTGGAACTGCAGCAGCCATGAAAACATACCTCTGAGATCTCCTGTGAGGGGACCTAGTTGACAGAGGGACGGTGCTTCCCAGGGTTTGTTCCCACCTAATGCCTGAGGGAGGCAGACCTGTGCCTGGGGGACACGGGGCTCCTCTGGAGGCTGAAGGACATCCTGTTAGCCTTGCTGAGCTTTCTTAGAACTGCACTGTAGCCCCCAACCCTTCCCTCCCTCCATTCCTTTCTCCCAGCCCCCTCTGGCTCCCTCCTCACTTTCCTCCCGGGCATTTACCCCAGTAAATCTCTCGTACTACATCTCATCTCACGTTGGCCATCTCTGCGGACCTGGACTAACGCACCTTCCCATGACGGAGGTGCATAAATGGAGAGGAAGACAATCAGGGGGCTTCCAGCAGGCCACCAGCATGAGCCAAGGTGTGGTGGCCTGAGGTGTGTTCACAGCACAAGGGAGTAAGGTAGCTTGTCCTGGGAAGACATCAAGTTCCCCTGCTCTGGTCCATCAAAGGAAGTACTCGGGTGAGTTACTGAACCCTCTGGGTTTTGGTTTCACCATCGGCAAACTGAGAATAATAATAGTGTCCACTTTACAGGATCCTTGTGGGGATTAAATGAGTTACTACAAAAAAGTGTTTCAAATGGTGTAAGTTACCAACTAAAGTTAGAGCTATCGGCCGGGCGCGGTGGCTCACGCCTGTAATCTTAGGTCTCTGGGAGGCCGAGGCGGGCGAATTGTTTGAGCTCAGGAGTTCGAAACCAGCCTGAGCAAGAGCGAGACCCCGTCTCTACTAAAATTAGAAAGAAATTAATTGGACAACTAAAAATATATAGAAAAAATTAGCCGGGCATGGTGGCGCATGCCTGTAGTCCCAGCTACTCGGGAGGCTGTGGCAGGAGGATCGCTTGAGCCCAGGAGTTTGAGGTTGCTGTGAGCTAGGCTGAAGCCACGGCACTCACTCTAGCCCAGGCAACAGAGTGAGACTCCGTCTCAAAAAAAAAAAAAAAAGTTAGAGCTATCATTGCAAAAAATGTTGAAAACTGCCCCTGTCTAATGGGGCTGGGTTTTAGCTTCAAAGAAGGCAACACACACAATACTTTCCTTTCGAGACTCAGTTTGTCTGTAGCCTTTAGGATGCAGACGTGAACCAGACCTGGTCCCCGGAAGGAAGAAAGCGGGGGCGCAGGGAGGAGAGGGCTGCCCTTTCCCAGGCCAAGTCCCCTGTTCTGAGTGGGTTGGGTCTTGACATTATCGTCATGACCCTACAGCGGCCAGATAAGAGGGCAGAGGCTGGGTGGAATGGGAGAGTTGCCCAGATGTCACGTTTCTACTGGACAGTGGACATCTGGATGCACCGAGACTCCTACGGGGGAACGTCCGGATGCTTGTCACTGGGAGGAATCTTCCCGGGAGTCCACTTGACATGTGGGCTTCACGTCCCAGATGAAGGCTCAGATGCCACGGTTGGAACCCCATGGGGTGACTCCTTACCCCCACCGCTGCCGCCAGCAACACACCCATTGCACAAGCGAGGTAGCTGAGGCTCAGGGAGGTGAAGCGACTTGCTTAGGGTTATGTGCAAAGCTGAACTTGGCTCCACCATGGGCTAGAGGGGTCACCCTTGGGCCAGTCTTCGCTCATACCAGCCCTGCCCTCAGCCGGGCCCTTTCATCCCTCGCGGGGCAGGGGAGTTTGGAATTCCTCCTACTGTTCAGAGCCGCCTGTTCCTGCAAGATGCCACAGCCAGACCGCTGGATACCCTATTAGGCTGATAAATATATTAATAGAAAGCCTTTATGGTAATAAAGTAAAAATAATAAGATGAAGCAACAATTCTGAATTATCACCAGGGGCCAGGCCTGTGACAGACGCTTTGGGTGCATTACTACCTCACTTAGGCCTCTCACAGCCTTAACTGGAAGGCTGTCTCGCTTGGGAATGTCTTTGGCTATAAGTAAGAGAAAATCTGAGTCACGGTGTCTTAACACAGACATTTGGTTATCTCATCAGATGAGAAACCCAGAGGTGGGCGGTTCCAGCGAAGGTCAATCTGCAGCTCCGGGTTGGGGCTCTACAATCTTCCTGGCCTTCCCTCACCGCAACACTGTGCCCCCTCCCCATCACATCCTCACACAGTGGCCCCCAAAGTAGAAGAGGAGACAGATAGGGAACTTTCCAGAAGCCTCCCACAGACGTCCAGAAGGTGCCCACCTCTGGACTTGTCGCCAGCAAGAAGGGATGTCCCTGACTGGCTCAGAGCAGTGACAGTTTATTCTCTGGAAAGAGGGTGGGGCCACCTTCCTCAACAGCTGCTGACTCCTGAACGAATTAGGGATAAAATCCGAACAAAGCCAGAGGCACCGACACATCCTTCCGTCTTTGGTGTGCAAGTAGCCACGGCTCCTGGCCTGGGAAGATTCTGCCCCTGGGGTGGCGTGGGAAGAGGGTATTTGGGAGAGATTCCCACGGAGGCAATGCTGATCTGCACTGAAGCCAGGAGTGGGAGTAGAAGAGCTAACATTTATTGAGCACTTACTGTGTGCCTGGCCCTGTGCTGGGTGATTTCATTCTCTTGTCATTTAACTCAGATCTCACAACAGCCCCGTGAGGAAGGAACTGTTCTTCCCGTTTTCCCGATGAGAAAACAGGGCGAGCCCTGATTGCAGACATGGTGAGACGCTGAGCTAACTGTCACTAGGGCTCACTGTGTGTCAGATGGGTGTGTCACCTGCCTTAGGTTGTGTGCTCCTTACCTCGACCCCCCAGGTTCTGTCTTCCCCAGCTTGGAGCAGATTGCCTGGGGTCACAGCTGCCTATCGGCTTTGCAGGAAGACAGCCCCGTGGCGCTCCCCAAATTTGGAGAAAACCCTCCAGGCCCATTCTGCGGCCTTTTTGGGATTGTTGGCTTCGCCGGAGGATAAGCTGGATAAATAAACAAGAGGTTCAGGAAACTCCTTTCGCCTCTTGCTGTTCTGAATCTGCTGAGGATACAGAAGGGTCATCTGGCTGCCTTGACAGCTGACGTTAAGCAGGCAAATAAACGAATGTCTAATATGATAGCAGGACATGTGAAGTGCTGCCAAAAACAAACAACGACAAAACCCCACACCCAGCCCAAACAAAACAAACGCCTTAAGGCAACAGAGTGGTGGGGTAGCTGCTTTAGACCAGATGGTCAGGGAGGGAGTCTGAGGATAGTTGAGCAGAGAGAGAGGGATGAGGGGAGTGACAGAAAGAGCAAGCTGTGCAGGTCTTCCAGGCTGAGGGAATAGCAAGTGCAAAGGCCCTGGGGTGGACGTGAGGTTGGCATATTTGGGGAAATATGGGACGATCAGTGTGGCTGGAGCAGAGCGGACCATGGAGGGGGGTGCCGAGGGAGGTAAGGGTGGGATGGGGCAGCATGGTCCTTGGAAGGACTTTGTGCTCTGAGTGAGGTGGAGCCAGGGAAGGTTCTGAGCAGGATTCAGTGACAGGATCTGACTTAGGCTCTTAGGAGCCTTCTGACTACTGTGGGGAGAATGGTAGGGAGATAAGGGCTGGAGCCAGCAGACCAGGGAGGAGGAGGCTTCTCCACACTATTGGGAAGATGGAACGAAACCTGCCTAAGCTCACCCAGCGGCGAGCAGGCAGTTACAGGACTAGAACCAGACTTCCTGGGTCCCAGCTCCACATTCAGCCCATTGTTTCATAAAACCTGCACTGCCAAGCACTCAGCAGTTTGCAATTCTCTTTTACTGACAAGCTCTCATCAACTCCTCAGAGCAACCCCTGGGGCAAGTACCACTCTGACCGCTGTTTCCAGGTAAGGAACTGTGCTCAGAGAGGTTAAGTTACCTGCCCAAGGCCTCCCAGGGTATCAACCAGGAAGGGGGAGGGTAGGGGTGGGAGGCGCACAAGCCTGGAGTGAGGCCCAGGCCTTCCAGCTCGTTTTCACCAGCACCCTGGGGCGGTCCTTTGCACCCTAAGCACCAGGTAGTGGCCCTAATACGCTCCAGGTGCAGGGTGGGTGCTTCACACTCAGTCTGTCCCTGCAGCAGGTGGCGAACGTGGGTACTCACAGTGGAGTCCCAGTCGCTCTTCTGGCTCCCGTGCAGTAGTTAGTTACTGAAGATGCCAGGCAGTGCCATGTACTCCAGCCCAACCCACCCAGCCCCGACGACAGGATAGAAAACGCCAGGTCCGTCACACGTCCGGGCTGGGGGACGGGCTGGGTGCCGGGGCGGTGCGGTCGGTTTAGGAGGAACGTGGAACGTGGAGGGAAAGCCCCTCCTGGCCCCCTTACAGCCCCCCACGCCCTCCCACCACGAGCCCTCCTCCCACACTGCCCCTCCCGGCCCAGGGCTCCTTCCGGGTCCCCCCTCCGCCTCCCCACATTCCTTCCCTCCCCTTGCTCACGCTGCCCCTCCCATCTCCCCCAGCCCTCTCCCCTCTCCCCTGCACATCCCCGCCGTCCCTCTCCCCTCCATCACCCCTCCCAGCCCACCACAGCCCACTCTGTCCCCGCCTGCACCCCTCTACCCTCCATCCCACGTTTCCCGTCCGGACCCAGGAGGTGGGGGCCGGTCCCCGCCAGCTGCGGGGAGGGGTCTCCGCCAGCACCCGCGCCCAGCACGCGGACCTGGGAGGCCCCGCCCCGCGGCTGCCGGGCGGAGGGTGGGAGGGGCGCCGGCGCGGGGCGGAGGGCTTTACCTGGGGTGGCCCGCGGTCGCCAGCCCGGCCGCCCCGCCATGTCCTGGGCCGCGCTGCTCGGCCTCCTGGCCGCGCTGCTGCTGCTGCTGCTGCTGACCCGCCGGCGCACGCGGTGAGTGCCCCGCCCCGGCCCGGCGGACAAAGGGGGCGTCTCGCTCCTGCCCGCGCGGGCAGGACCCTCCGGGGTGGGGGTCCCAGTGCCCCGCCCCGGGCGACCGGCCGGGCCGAGCCACGCTGCCACGAAGGCGCGAGGTGGGAAGTTGCGGGGACAGGGCTAGGTCCCTGGGGGCTGGACGCCCGCCGCGAGACGTCCAGGTCTGGCCCTTAGCGCGATGGCTGGGACCCGGGAAGGGGTTTGGGTGAGGACGGGGGTCTGCGGATGGCCTCGGCGTGACCGGGGTGTCAGAGCCCCTCCTGCTCTTGAGCCTGCGCCGGCGCCCAGCACCCTCCCACTCGCGGTCACACTCTGCCTCCCTCTGCGCAGCCCGTGGGTCGCCTCGCTCCTCAGCCCGTTACACTGACGGGACAGTTGAGGCTGCGGAATGTAGGGACCCTGGGGGATGTCCTTATCATGCCCTGGAACCACCTTCTGCCGTGTTCCCCGTCTGGATTGGGGTGGGGGGCGGGTAGGCATCAGTGTTTTCATTTGCCAGGGGAGAAACTGAGGCCGCTAAAGGGGTCCCCTACTGGGGCCAGGCGTGGCCACCTCCTGGGCCCTAAGGTTTTCCTGCTCCATTGAGACTCTGTGATTTAGGGAAAAACCTAAAACTCATACGCCTCCAATCAGGGTGATAGCAGTAGTTCTTCTTTGCATAAAATATTTTAAAAATTAATTCGAATTGCACAAGGAATAGCAGAATACATTTGACTGAAGTATTTATCGTGTATAGGTAAGACTGAAGCCCTTTAACCGTCCTCCGAACCCTTCCTCCAGGATTCTAGTGCTCGCCCCTCTTTGGGCCTCTCCTGTTTCTCAGTTTGGGTAGAAACTTCCAGATTGGAAAAAAAAAAACGTGTTTTTTATTTTAGACTAGGTTGAGATTTACAGAAAAGTTGCAAAGATAGTACAAAGAGTTCCTAAGTTCCCCTCACCCAGTCTCCCCTACTGTTAACATCTTACGTTGTTGTGGTACATTTGTCACAACTGAAACACTAGCACTGGCTGCAGTACTGTGAACTAAGCTTCAGACTTCATTGGGATTTCTTCAGTTTTCCATAAACGTCCTCCTTTCTTCCAGGATCTGGTCCAAGGTACCACATTCCTTTAGTTGTGATATCTCCCCAGTCTTCCAGATGTTTTAAAAATTACGCTTACAGACATGAGCTTGTAGATAACCCAAAGCAGTGTAAGTGTGTGTGTGTGTGTTTACGTTAGAGTGTTTGAAAAATCCAGAAATATCAGGAACTTCTTGGTTTTTAAACAATATGTTAGTTGAATTTTCAAAAAATAAGCTCCCGGTATTTTTCTTCAGCCTCCAGACACTTTTTCAGGTGAAATTAAAAACGATGTTTTCAATCATTTGCCTGCAGAAAAGAAAAGAAAAAGACAACAAATTTCTTGATGAAGAAATGAATTATTTTTCCTAAGTTGGCGGGCTTTTTCAATAGTCTGGAGAGACATGTTTTCAGACTGTGCAGTTGCTTTTCTTCACCCAGATCTTAGTTTTGACATCTATTCAATGTTGCTGCATGGAGATCTCGGATTAGATCTCCATGTTTTGATATTCCATGATATGAGGAAGTTGCAGGTTTCTTTTTTCCTTTTCGTTCACGTTCCTATCGATGGACTTTTAGGTTGTTTTCAGTGCTTTCGCTATTTCAGACAATGAGCTGTGTTCTTCGTGTGGGCGTCTCGTGGTCTTCGCTTTCCCCTGGGGTAGGCGGGGGCAGCTGTGTACCCAGTAAATGGGAGGCGGGTACCTGGGTGCCCGGCGTTCTTGGCATGTGGAAATTCCCAGCCTGTGAAAATATGGTCAAGTTGAGTAACCACCTTCTGCCTCAGTTTCCCAGTGTTTAAAATGGAGATGATGATAATAGTAGCTAAGAATGGAATTGCTGGGTTAGAAGGAATGCCAATTTGACATTATTTTGGCCAATTCTTGCCAGCTGTCAATCTTGGGAGCTGATCTGTCTTTGGGGATGAGCTTTTGATTTTTATACCTGTGGGTATATTGGGAGGGTTAATAAGTGAATACTGGGGAGAAGTGTGGGAATGGGGGTCACTAGCAGCTGGAGGGCAGTTACATGGACTCTGGGGACCCCAATTTAGGTCCCCAGTCTCATTTTCCCTTCCCAGCTCATCTAGGGGGCACTTTGGTTACCCCCATTTTACAGAGGAAGAAGCCGAGGGTCAGGGAAGCCAAGCAACTTGCTCAAGGCCTTCCTGGATTAAAACTCTGGACAGCAAGAATTTTTAATTCTCAGGAAAAATGAATTCTTACTCTTCCCACACATTATGTTGGTAATCTGACCACTCAGAAATCTTAGAACCATGGGACCTTAGATAATAAGAGATGCAGCCACAGTGGAAGATTCTTAAGGAAGGACAATCACGTGAAAAAGAGGTGGATGGTGCTGTGTAGACGCTGACCTGAAGTTTGGGTCGAAACAAGGCTTTCCGCGTCTCTCATCTCATTCCTCTGCTGACCAAGTCCCGAGGTAATTTTTATCACCCCCACCATACAGCTGAGGCTTGAAAAAGGTTAAGTGACTTTCCAAGGTCATGCAGAGATTATATTCCACCTGTAGCCAGCCCCACAATTCATGCTTGGCCCAGTAAGAAAACGAAAAACAAAAAACACTACTTCATTCGTTTAGCAACTGTATCTTTACTTAATGGTATATTTTTTATATTTTAAACTTTTTAATTATGAAAAATTTCAACTATACAGGAAAAGAAAGAACCCCCGTATACCCACACTTTGATTTGACAGCTGGAGGACAGTTAACGTTGTTTTAAAAATTATAGACATCATGATATTTTACTCTCGAATATTTCAGAATGCATATCAAAAAACAGTGATACAGTGAGTTATGGTGGCACCACCGCACCCGAGCCTGGGCAACAGAGCGAGAGCCTGTCTGTAAAAATAAATGACAATCACAATTCCATTATCTTGCCTGAGAATAAAAAAATAATAATAATAATTCTTAATGTCATCTAGTTCCCCGTCCAAATGCAAATTTCTGCAATTACGGCAAGATTTTTAAGCCCGGTTTCTCCTGGGAAAGGGTGGTGAGCTGAGAGCAGTGTGACTTCTGGGTCCATTGAGGCTAATGATTTGCCTCGTGGGTATCAGAAACTTTCTTCTTGCTTTCTAGGCCTCAGTTTCCCTATCTGTACTGTGAGGTGGCTCTCAGGCCCCAGCTGCTTCATCAGGCTAGCGCACCTCTCTTCCTCTTTGGGCTTGTGTGGCTGAGCATCGAGAGAGGTCCCCTGGCGGGGAGGCCCCTTTTCTGGGGGTCCAAGGCCATAGTGTCATCCCCTGTGGCTCAGTGGCTGGTCTGGGCCGGTGCAGGATGCAGAATTTCTAGGCACAGATAAATCTATCTCATTCTAACATGCACTAACCTGATGGACCAGATGCTGGTCCATGGCTGCATTCAGCCCTGCATGGGTCTGGTTTGTGCTGCACAGTACAAGGGGAGAAAACAGAGGGATTCCATATACAGAAATCCAGATTCCCAACTTCTTATGAAAAATTGAAAGATCTAGCAACACTTTCCTGGGACTCAGTAGTAGAGCCCTCTTTAAACCTTGCCACAGTCCCCACTACTCCCTATTGCTTCTCCAACATGCTGCTATTCTGTTTATCACTGTACTTCCTCTGCTGTTTTTTCTTATGTTGAGAAATAATTCTCTGAGTCTGTGTCTATTTCAAAAACAAGAAAACAAAAACTAGAGCAAGAAGGTTTTTTCTACACAGCGGGAGGCAATGGGGGGAGGTTAGGAACAGCATCTGGGAGACCCTCTGTTAATGGCAGACAGAAAACCATAGAGGCCTGCGGGTGAGCCCCAGGGGAAGAATGCGTTAAACAGGTTAAGACAAAAGCTCAGGTTGCTCCAGCTCAGCTGGGCAACTCGGTCCCCTTTGTTCCCCATCAAATCCTCTCAGAGCCTGAGGCCCTGCATTAAGTTGAAACTATGGAACAGAGAGGTTGGGCAGTCTACCGGCATCGCACAGCTAAAGAATGCTAGCCTCTGCTCTGGGCAGTCTAGAACGTGGACTCCGTGTCAGGAGCTTGACTGCGTTGGTTCCCTTAACGCTCCCGGCGACTCTGGGAGGCACGTGCTGCTCGTTGGGTACCGACTATGCACACGATTCATTCATCTGCCAGGTACTTACTAAGCACATGCCTACTCTGTGCCAGGCCCTGTTCCAAGTGCTGGAGTGAACAAGCCCCTGCTCTTGCGGACCTTGCACGAAGTGAGGATGCGATTCACTACATCAGGGGGCACAGAGGCGAGTGAGATCCCACCCCGTGACTCCCTCCCCCCGGCTGCAAGGGGTCAGGTGGGAGCGAGAGACAGGGCAGGTGGCAGGGCTGGCAGTGGGGTCTGAGTGAGTGGGCAGTTTTGAGAGGAACCCACATGATGGCAATTAAAGCTCTTAGGGGAGCATCGGAAAAGATGTCGTGGTGTCTGAACCAGGATGGCCAGGCAGTGGTGGGCTGAGTGGGCAGGAGCCCGGGACAGGAAGGTTGAGCCTTCCCTCCCCGCCCTGCAGAGCCTGGCAGTGCCTTAAAACAGTGAAAGTGTCAGTGGGCGAGGCTGGAGCCCTCAGACCTCAAAATAGAGCCTCCTTCGCCCCTGCTGGCTGCTGGCTGCGGGCTGAGTCACCCTGGAATGTGGCGGGCTGAGTCGGATTGAGGGCCAGAGCCTACGACCAGCCCAGCCAACTCCAGCCTGGCCAACCACCAGCCGCCCACCAACGGCACCAGGCGCCTGGGCTCCCAGCTTCCGGCCTTTGTCTGTCTCCTTGGGATGTGTCTAGGGAAAGAGGAAAACTGCCAGAAATAACACCTGGCTCTCCCCAGCTCGGGCAGCAGCCCGGATAAAGGGCCGGGACAGGAAGCCCCTCCCACCCGCAGAGATGTCCTAGGGAAAATCTCAGGCCTTGCGTTTGGGCAGGTGGCTGAAATCTCTCCGTTTAGTGTCCTCATCTGCAAAGTTGGGGGGTAACTGTCCAGTTGGGGGTGACTGTTGGCCAGGGTAGTGTCAAAAGCATGGGCTCTGCACACCTACTTGGATTGGAAACCCAGCTCCTCTAGGGTGGGACCCTGGCCCCTCACACCTCAGTTTCCTCCTCTGTAGGATGGGCCTGCAATAATAGTTCCTTCCTCGTCGGGTTAGCGGGAGGATTTATGGAGTTAGTGGGATCAAGGGCTTAGTGTGGGGCACCCCACACTGCCAAGACTCATTCAGTAGGTGTTAGCCATTATTACCAAGCAAGGAAACATTTGGAAAATGCCAAAGCACAGTGCCTGATGTGTGGTTGGCGCTCAGTAAATGGTGTCCAGGAGTCTTACTGGTCCTGGATCTCAGCTGCTCCCCGGCTAGCAGGCGCCAGGTGCTCTGCTAGGTGCCCTGTAACCCCTTCATCCTCATCACAGCCCAGTGAGGTCAGTAGTGCTGTTACTCCCATCTTACAGATGAGGAAAGAGAGGCAGAGAGAAGCGAAGTCACACGGCCGGCAAGAAGCGTGGCTGGGGTTTGAAGTCAGGAAGAGCGGTGCTAAAGGTTGGGGTCATAGCCACCTCGCCCTCCTGTCTCTTACGCAGAAATCGCTGCTCCTGCGTCCTCGCTCCCTGGGCTCTGACCTGGCGGGGGCTGGTGTGCACCAGCTGACTGCTTGTTGCAGTGCCATACTCAGCCTGTGTGACACATGGGGCCTTCAGGAGAGGCTGCCTTAGCCCAGGGGCTCGGAAGAGATGAGGCACCTCCTTAGAACCCCAGAGCTTGACTCTGCAAGTCTCCTCTTTGGCTAGAGAAGCTGGGGCTCTCAACTGTGGGCTGGGAGGCAGGGTGGGGCCTGGGGAGAGAGGTGGGAATGGTTGGGGGAGGCCCCTCCTAGGCCCTCAGACTTCATCTTTGGTTCTGTTCCCGTCTTCCCCAGCCCTGGCCCTCACATCTGGCCATTTGCTCCTGCCTACCACCCGCCCCGTCCTTTGGGTTATGTTGGGGACAGCCATAAAGAGGGAGCGGGAGACAGGGGTGGAGGGAGGTGGAGAGGGGGAGGAAAAGGATGAGGAGAAGTCGGTGTTCCCCTGAACTGCTGGGGTGGGGAGTCAGATGCTAGGCCTGGCTCGCTGGGCGCCGTGACCTCTGCTTCCGCCATGTTGCTCTCCTGATGGTCACAGTGGTCTAACACATCTCTCTCCTTCCTCATGCCTCTCTGTTGCAACCCTTTTAAAGCATCGTCACATTACCTCCTGACTCCTGCTTCGAACCCTCTGGTGGATCCCCACCACAGTTGGCATAGAAGCCAGACTCACTTTGGCCTTCAGGCTTTCATGGTTTACAAGGTCATCTCCAAGGTCATTGCCTACCTCTCACCCCTGTGTTCTCCACTCTAGCCATGCTGGCTCCCACTGTCTTGGAAACCTCACCAAGTGCGCTCCCACCCCAGGGCCTTTGCACTTGCTGTTCCCTCTGCCTGTAACACTCTTCTCCTTCCAGTGCATTCCCTTCTCATTCTTTGGCTCTTTGCTCACATAGTACCTCCTTGGGGAGGCCTTCCTTGACCTCCTTCTGTAAACCAGCCCCTCACTGAGTCACATCACCCTTCTTTCTTTTTTCTTTAATGAGATATAATTCACATTCCATAAAATTCACCCTTTTAAAGTGTACGATTAATTGGTTTTTAGTATATTCACAGGGTTATGCAGCCATCACCACTATCTAATTCCAAAATGTTTTCATCGCCCCCAAAAGAAATCACGTCCCCATTAGCAGTCACCCCCCACTCTGCCTCCCCCAGCCCTTGGCAACTGCTAACCTATTTTCTGTCTCCATTGATTTGCCAGTTCTGGACGTTTCATACAAATGGAATCGTATAATTTGTGGCCTTTTGAGTCAACGTAGCTTAATGTTTTTCAGGTTCATCCACGTGGTAGCATGAATCAGTACTTCGTTCCTTTTTATGCCTGAGCAGCGTTGCAGGGCCTGGGTGTACCACATTTTGTTTATCCATCCCTCAGTCGATGGGCATTTGGGTTGTTTTCACTTTTTGGCTATCATGAATAATGCTGCTGTGAGCAATAGTCTGAAAATTTGTGCGTGAAGATGTTTCCTTAGAGTTACTACGCTTCACCTTTTGAGGAACTGCCGGACTGGTTTGCAAAGCTGCTGCGCCGTTTTACATCCCCAGTAGCAACGCACGAGGGTTCTCGTTTCTCTGCGTTCTTGCCAACACTTATCTTCCTTTTTAAACATTTTTATTTCTCTTATGCCCATTCTAGTGGGTGAAGGGGCACCTCACTGCGGTGTGGTTTGCACCTCCCAGTGACCAGCGATGCTGAGCATCGTTTCACGGGCTCCTTGGCCGTGTGCGCGTCTTCTTTGGAGACCTGCCTGCTCGAGGTCTTCGTGCGTTTTTAAACTGGGTGATTCGCCTTTGCGTCGTTGAGCTGTATTTCCTTTATTTTCTTCGTCACAATTCTCACCCTCTGATTTTGCCCTTTTATCTTTTGTTTACCTGCCCTTTTTGGTACGAAAGCCCCATGACATCGGTGACCTTGTCTGCCCTGTTCCCTGCTGTGTCTGCAGTACCCAGGACAGCGCCTGCTTCACGGTGAACGTTTGGTGAATGCATGAATGAATCCCAGTGAGAAGAAGGGGTGTGATCATTCATTCATTCATTCATTCATTCAGCAGACAGGTAGCTGGGAGCTTTCCGCGTCCCTGTGGCTACAGTAATTCTAAGACTAAGTCGGGGATCCTAAGCTGGGTTTAGGGACCTCCAGAGGCTCCACCGAGAGCACCAGCCCTGCAAGATTGTGAGGCCCATCTGTGACCCTGACTGCAGCTCTCGTCGGCCAACAGTCCCTCCCTCCGAGGGTCGTAGGGGAGGATGGCGGAGGCTTGGCTCCGGTCAGGGCGCGGTGGACGCACGCTGTAAGTTTGAGTGCGTTAGCTATTCATTGCTAAGTATTAATAACAAAACACCATACACTTAGCGGCTTAGAACAACACCCATTTGTTAGCTCAGTTTGGTGGGTCAGAAGTCCAGCAGGGTACGGCCGGGTGCTCTGGTTAGAGTCGTAGAGGCTAAAATCGAGGAGGAGGGAGGAGGGAGGAGGGAGGAGGGAGGCTCCAGGGAGGAATCTGGCTGAGTTCAGCCGCCTGCAGTGGCAGCACTGAGGTCCTCGTCTCCTTGCCTGCTGCCAGCTGAGGTCCCCTCACAGCTTTTGAGACCACCCGGGTTCCTTGGCACGTGACCCTCCCCCTCTCCCTGTGCCGAATCCCTCTCGTGCTTTGAATGTCTTTTGCCAGGAAGGGCCCTGTCCCTGTTAGGTCGGCCCACTAAGGAGAACGCTTTTCTCTTAAGTCACCTGTGCCATCGATCTCCGACTCAACGGAGGGAACCGTACAAGGATGTGGGCTGCTACGAGTCACCCTAGAGTCCCGCCTGCCACAGCGAGCTGGAAGTATTGTCATTCTACCCTCAGAGGAGTCCCTCTGCGTTCCCAGATGATTCTGACCTTGACTATCACACATGTAACCGGCTCACCCCGGGCTGAGCTACCATGTGCTGCTGGGACACCCTTAGAGGCTGTGGCCTGGCCTCTTGCCACCGAGGTACCTCAGACCCTGAGCTGGCGGGGGGCAGTCGGGGGGCAGCGATGAAGCAGGTGCTCCCACTGCCTTCTGCCACCCGACTGTGCTGTCCAGTCCCATCCTCTGTGCACAGGACAGGGAGTGCGAGATGACCAAAGCCCTGGCCCAGGCTGGCTCACACGGACACCTCTGTGTCCTTATGCTGTGGGGTGCTCGGAAGGCTCTCCCCCCACCTCCACTGGACTCCATACTCTGTGCCAGACATCAGCTGGTCCCCAGCTTCTGCTCCCACCCCCAAGTCTATTCTCTGTACCCCCAAGTCTATTCTCTGTCCCGTAGCGGGAAGGATCCTGTAGAAACCAAAGCCAAACTATGTCGCAGCACTGCTCAAAACCCTCCCATGGCTCCCACCTCACTAAAGGAAAACCCTGTGCGAGCCAGCCACCATTACCTCCCTGGCATCAGCTTCCATGACTTCTCCCTGTTCCCTCCAATCCTGCCACGCTGACCTCCTTACTGTTCTTTGATCACACCAGGTGTGATCCAACCTCAGGACCTTTGCACTTGCTGCTCCCTCTGCCTGGAAAGCTCTGCTCACAGATACCCCTGTGGCTCCCTCCCTCAGCACCTTCAGGTCTGTCCTTCCATGTCCTCCCTCAGTGAAGCCTGCCCTGACCTCTTCATTTAAAGTCACACCCCATGACATACACTCTTCTTCCCCTTCCTTGACTGATTGAAGAGTGATAAGTGCTGTGGCTTCTGCAGGCGACCCGGAGAGCCTCCCCTGGACCTGGGCAGCATCCCCTGGTTGGGCTATGCCTTGGACTTTGGAAAAGATGCTGCCAGCTTCCTCACTAGGATGAAGGAGAAGCATGGTGACATCTTTACTGTAAGTGCCTCATGTGCTTCCTGGGAGGGACAGGGATGAGAAACTGGGCCTCATAGCTGGTGTCTGCCAGTCCCTTCCACATCTGCCCATATGCTGATCCCCTCATCCAACATCCATCCAGTGGTCCAGCCAACTTCCTATCCGTCTGTCTACCCGGCTGCATATCCAGTGCTTACCTAGTATCCGTCCCTTCAGTATCCCTCTAGCCTCTTCCCACCATCCAGCTACGCAGTCACTCAGCATCTGTCCAGTCCTGAACCTCCATGAGCCGACCCCCACCCATTCATTCAACTTCCATCTGTCCAGCATTCATCTTCCCACCTAACATCTGTTCTTCTGCCTGTCCACCCGGTGTCTACCCAGCACCCTTCCATCCTAGTATCCACCAACATTCATTCATGTATTTTGTTTCCATCAAACTCCATCTATCTACTCATCCATCCGCCTTTCCACATACTCATCCAACATCTGTCTGTTCATCCACTTATCCATCCTCTGTCCCTCCGTCTGTCTACCCGTATTTACCCAGCATTCTTCCACGCGTGTAACCAACATCCATCCAACTTTCATCCGTGTGCAGTCGGCCCTCTGCATCCGTGGGTTCTGCATCTGTGGATTCACCCAACCGCGGATCAAAAATACTTGAAAAAAAATTGCGTCTATACTGAATATATATGGACTTTTTTCTTGTCATTATACCCTAAATAATTCACTATAACAACTACTTACATAGCATTTACATTGTATTAGGTATTATAAGTCATCTAGAGATGATTTAAATTATGTGGGAGATGCGCCTCGGTTATATGCGAATGGTACACCACTTTGTATCAGGGACTTGAGCATCACGGATTTTGGTATGTGTAGGGGATCCTGGAACCAACCCCCCGCGGATACTGAGGAATGACTATTCACTTTCTACCACCTTCCGTTTTTCCATGTATCTACCCATCCCTCTGTCCACCTGCCACTCTCTGCCCAACGCTTAGCTATATTCAGTATCCAGTGTCTGTCCACTCAGTGTTCACCTACGTATGTCTCCATGCAGCCATCCCTCCAGCATCCATTCAGACAGCCGCCCCCATCCATCTTCCATGTATTTGTCCAACTTCCACCCAACGATCATTCATTCTTCAATCTGTTGCCCAATATCTACTTAGCATCCCGTTATCCATGAGCCCAACATTCGTACATACATTTCGTTTCCAACCAACCTCTAGCTGCCCTTCCGTCCTTCTTTTTGTCCAACATAGATGCCCTGATCTATCCTTCCATTTAACCACCCAGTTAACATTCCATCCACTAGCATTTACCCAATGGTTCCCTTCCTCCCTCCCTTCCTTCCTGCCTTCCTTCCACCCATCTGCAATCCATCCACTGGCATTTACCCAACGGCATCCTTCCTTTCATTCATCTGTCCTTCCTTCCATCCATCCACCCTCCCGTGATGCACACATCCCTCTGCTGTCTTCTGTCGGCCTTCCCTCCTCTGCTGGACGTACGGCAGTAACCAAGGTAACAATGGCAGGTGCCATTGGTGGTAAAGAACACAGCCTTTGATTTTAAAAAGCCCCGAATTCCAGTCGCAGCCCTGCCACTTCTCGGCCGTGAGACCGTGGGCACATTAGTCCCTTTTCTTAGCCTCACTCTGCAGCTCTAAGTGGTGAGTCCCTGTCTCAGTGTGGCCAGGAAGGATAGTAAGAGAACATTGTCTCTTCAGTGCCCGGCGGGGACAGGGCCCTTGATTACTGGGGGCGGCTGCTGTTCATAGTGACACTCCCCACTCCACCCCTGCCGACTTCCCGCAGATGCTGGTGGGGGGCAGGTATGTCACCGTCCTCCTGGACCCACACTCCTACGACGCGGTGGTGTGGGAGGCTCGCACCAAGCTGGACTTCCACGCCTACGCCGTCTTCCTCATGGAGAGGATTTTCGACGTGCAGCTTCCGCATTACAGCCCCAGCGATGAAAAGGCCAGGATGAAACCGTGAGTGGCCGTGCAGGGCACCGTGGGCGGGCTGGGTGGGCGACCCGCTTCTACCTGTGTGGCCCAGGTCTTGGGGGAGCCAGGCTGGCTCCACACCGTGTCTGGTAAAGACATTGTGTCTTGAGAACACAAACAAAAGCAGAACAAAAGAACTGGACTGAAAAGGAACTCTTCCCCTCTCATGTCTGTGTCCTTTAGGAGGCAGCCCTGATTGTAGCAGGAGGAGACCAGGGTTTGGGTCCGTCAGACCCAGATTCAAGCCCCAGCTCCATCTCTTCCTGGCTTCGTGACTTTGGACAGATCACTTCCCTGCTCTGAGCCTCTGTTTCCTCCTCTGCAGAGTGAGGGAGAGTGGGGGGGTGAATATTTTTGACCCGTAACCTGTGCCAGGCGTACGCACATCTCATTAGTCTTCATGACGACGCTGGAGGCTGCGTCACTTCCAGGCTCATTTTATAGGGCAGCACCGTGGGGCTCAGAGAAGTGACTTGCCTTAGGCCACATAGCTAGGAGGGGGCGCAGCTCCTGCAACACAAGGAATAATTATATCCACCAGAGGACAGGTGAGCATGTTTACTCTGTGTCCATTCAGCAGACATCTGAGGACCTGCTATGCCCTGGTCACTGTCCTAGTTGGTTGGGGGCCGTGCAGGAGGGTGCCTGTCAACATGTTTGACAGGCACACGTACTTATCTGTACCTTAGCCTCAGGAGGCGGGTATTTTTATCCTTATTTTATAGGTGAGGAAACTGAGGCTCAGAGCAGTGAAGTGACCTGCCCAAGGTCTACTGCTGGTACGTAGTGGGGCTGGGACTTGAACCCAGGTCTGCTGCCTTCACAGCCCATTCTCCACCTGAGACACTGAGACAGATGAAACCCGGTGTCCACGTCTGCAGAGCTCACACGGTCTGGTGGTGACGTTCCGTGGCCTGTCTCCAGGGAGGATAACCTCCCAGAGTTAGGGAGAGTGTCCAGAGTCCTCTGTGTTGCAGGATAGCCAAAGCAGAGGCACGGCCAGCATTGCGAGAGGCGACGCCCGCCTGACCTTGTCCCGTGGGACAGCCGCTAGGAGTATTTCTGAGCCTGAGTGTCCTGGGTCCTGCCGTTCCAGGGGACCCTGGGGTGGATCAGCAGCAGGAATCCACGGCTCACTATATCCTCCTCCCCCGCCCAGGGAGGATCCCAGTTTCCTCCAGTGGAATTCTGCCCCAGGAATTTTTGGAAATTTCTCACGAGCTGGCACGATGTCTTCTGGACATAGCTGCCGCGTCTGTTGGGGGCCACTCTTTCTGTGGAGGACTAGTGCTTGGAGTGGGGTGGGGAGAACAGCTGGGTCAGGGTGAGTCGCAATGCCGGCTCCCACTTTTCGAGGAGCTTTCACATTTGCAGTGTGCCAGGCACCATGCCAGGCCCCTAACATTGTCTCACATGAATCATGTCTGTTGTTTTTCCAACCGTGTTCCAACTTGAACATCCCAAAGTCACTGATACCAGGGAGTTCACGGACCCCCTCTGCAGGCCTTTCCCTCGTGAATTGTCCAAGCACCCAGGGGCTCACTCAGTCTCAAGTTGTCCATCCTACTTGCCAACAGCAGGTGGCGACAGAACCTGCTGCCAGGCGTAGGTGGAGCACCTGAGCAGTATGCCCCCGCGGTTCTTGCTGCTGACACAAGGTGTCGCTGTGAAACATTGGCTGTGCACTGCCCCGTGGACGCGCCGTTCACTTGCTGCAGTGGTGCCCTTTCTGGTCTGAGCCCTTCGAGAGGAGCAGAGGGGCTTAGACTTAGACACACGTCCCCTTTCTTGGCTTCTAACCACATCCTCAGTCGTGGCCCAGTGTGGACTGTGTAGCATGGAGGCTCAGTACGGGGGACCCCGGCTTCTGCCACGCGCTCCCCCAGACTGGCCGTCGGCTCAGACTCTTAGGTCCACGTGATGAGACCGGGTCACCAGCACAGATTCCCGTGTCCTCATGTCAGGCTCACTGGGGTCATGTCTCAGTAGCAGCCCTTAGTCAGGGGACACCCTAACTCTCCAAACAGGTCTTCCTGTCTCTTTATTTCAGGGAGAAATGAGTTACTTTTTAGTTCCTTCTCTTCCAGAAGGCTGTGGGTCCCTCATCCAAGCTTGTGTGCCCCAGGTAGGGACAGGCTATCCTAGTTGAGGGTTCAGACGGTTGGGCAGACCTGGGTTTCAGTCTCAGCTGTACCACTTACCGTGACCTTGGGTGAGTCACTTTCCTCTCTGTTGCTGAGTTTCTCCGTCTGTAAAATGGGTGTCATAATAGTAACTGTTATTCCCAGGTTGGTCATCAGATGAGATGAGATCATTGTGCTTAGCACAATAAGTGGTAACTGCCGTTGTTGTTGTTGACGATAGTTATAATAATATCATCTTGTTTAAGCCAGTCTCCCACGGGGCCCCATTGCCAGTGGGGAGCTTGCGCTCTGGGATCCTGAGAGTTGGGGAGGAGGTGCCCGTGGGTGGACATTTGCCCTTGGAAGCCAAACTCACACTTGGTCCCCTGCCTCAGGACTCTCCTGCACAGAGAGCTGCAGACGCTCACGGAAGCCATGTATACCAACCTCCGCACCGTCCTGCTGGGCGATGCCGCGGAAGCGGGCAGTGGCTGGCATGAGATGGGTCTCCTCGATTTCTCCTACAGCTTCCTGCTCAGGTGAGCCTGGGTGGGGCCCAGCACCTGGCCCTGTGTTGCCACAAGCAGTGGCCACGGGGGCCGGGAAGACTTTGTGGGTGGGGGAAGCGGTTTGGGACACCCAAAGCAAAGACTTCAGAGAAGTCATTGTCCACCTGGGACCCTAAGTGTTCATCTGACCCAGCCCAGAAGCTGTTAAAGGAAACGCCGGCTGAAAATAGGGCCTTGTGGGTCACCCAGGGAAGTAGCAGAGCATGACTTCAGAGACATCTTGTCCTGTGGCTTCCAGACTTTGGGATTTCATAGACCAGAAGAACAAAATCTTTGGGAGACCAACCCAGGACCTTAACCTGTTGTCAGACCATCTAAACTCCTATTAAAAACTGCACAACCGAATGTTCCTTCCTTCAGCGTGCTGGGCAGTATTCCGGGCTCTGGGGATACAGCAGGAACAGGACAGACGAAGTCCCCAAACTCACACAGCTGACACTCAGTGGGCGAGACAGACCATGGTTATGTCAGAGAGGGATAAACACGACAGAGATCCACAGATGGGGTGATGGCATCTGGGGGGGTCTTTTAGCCAGACTGATGGGGGAGGGCCTGTCTGAGGATCTGGCCTCAGAGCCAAGAAGTAGCTACAAGGTACCCACCATGCCACCGTTCTAGGCAGAGGGCACAGCAAGTGCCAGGGCTCGGCAAGAGGGCCAGGGTGGCTGGAGCACCGTGAGCTGCGGAGGGAAGTGGAGATGAGGTCAGAGAAGTTGGCAGAACCAGGTCTCAGAGCCTCATGGCTGTGGAAGGCTCTGGAATGTATTCTGAGTAGGATGGGTGACATCAGGGGTTTGAGCAGGGCGCAGCATGATCCGAGTTAGGAGTTTTGAGGCCCCTTCGGCTGCTGGGTGGAGGATGGATGGTAGGTGGGGGTGCGGGCCCGAGAGGGGGCAGGAGGACCCATCGGGAGGCGGCCGGGAGGTGGTAAGAGTGCGGGTAGCTGTTGGAGAGAGTCGACAGGCCCTGCTGAAAGATTCGGCTGGGGCAGGGGGTTGGGGAGCGTGGCGTGGGCAGGGAGGGGATTCCTGGTGGTATCAGTAACCCACCAGCATTTGTAAAAGAAAGGGCATTTCAACCCCTCCAAAAAATTACAGCAACATAGTTTCAGGATAAGGGGCAGCCACTTGTTGACATGCTTGGGTGTGTGGGTCCGTTTACGACCCAGCGTGTGCCCGTGTGTAGACTCATTGTGTGCCAACTCATTTAATGCTCGCAGTGGCTCTGGGTGGCTAGTACTTTACATCCCCATTTGACAGATGGGAAAACTGGGACCAAGGGAGCCTAAGCCATTTGCCCAGAGGCCCATGTTGGGGTCCTGGCAGGGCTGGCTCCAGAGCCCGCACCCTCAGCCACCACCTTTGCGTGTCAACAGTTCCATTCTTCTGGGCTTGCCCTGGAGTGGGGCAAACACTGTCCAGGGCTGTAATTGGTTTGGGTGGAGCTGGTCTGGTCATGTGATGGGGACCGAGGGCCAGACATAGGCAGCTGAAACCACCCAGCAAGTTCACGGCAGGGCAACCCCAAGGTCTCCTGGCTCCTGCCACCTTGTGTCCCAATGTGGGTGAAGAAGTCAGAGAGCAACCCCCAGTGGGGTTGGGGGAGGGAGGGGACAGGGTGACACCTGGGACCGTTGAGGCCTCCTGGTGCCACAGGCACCCTGCAGGGGGAGGGACGTCGATCTGGCCCTGCAGATCCAGACCCGTGTCCTCAGGGCCTGAGGCCTGGGCTGCAGCTCCTGCCTCCTGGCCGTCTGTAGCCCTGGGATAGGAAGGGAGGGGACGAGTTTGTGGAGGTGCAGGTTCACACAGCACAAACTGTGAGGTGCCATCTCTCAAACCCTCCAGCTTGTCCTGCATTGGCCTCACTCAGAGTCACATCCAAAGTCCTACTCTGTCCTCATCCTGTGACCCTGTCCTCTTCTCATCACACTGTCCTCCTCGCTGCCCCTTGAACAGACCAGGCGCGACGCCCGTGGGGCCTTTGCAGTTTCTGTTCCCTTGCCTGGGAATGCTGTTCCCCCCACGTCTGTGCGGCTCCCGCCTCACTTCCTTCAAGCCTCATCTCGAGTGCCACCTGCTCCGAGAGCCCTTTCCTGACATCCCCTTAGCATGACGGCCCGCTCCTGTGACCAGCTTGGTCCAGCTTTAGTTTCTTTGTGGCACCCAGCACCGCCTGTGGGTCACGTGTGTATTTACACATGTGATTGTCGCCTCCGGCCGCGTCACTTTGATCTGGAGGTGCCGTAGAAAGGGCCTTCACTTCTACAGTGGTAACCTTCGTGGTCCTCTGGGTTTATTTCGGAGTTTTTTTTTAATTGCAATTTTAGGTAGAAATACATGTACAGGGAAATAGTTCTCCGTTTTAGGAAAAACAATAGTCCGAGTGGGGTAATAAATGGCAATGAGTGTTTGACTGCAGTGTCATGGGGACCACGGGGCCCCGTGAAGACCGTAGCGGCCTGGCAAGTGTGTGTCTCTCTGAGAGGGGCGGCCGCGGCTCTGTTCCTGCCCGGGGCTGTCGGGTGGGACTGCGGGCCCAGGGGAGCCGGGTTCCTTGTTCAAGACGAGACGAGTGGGGAATGCAGATTCTGCATGAGTTTCCCCAAACGTCTGAAGGTAGGTTCAGCTTGTTTTTAGGAAAACCCTACTGAGTAAAATATCATCTTGTTTAAGCCAGTCTCCCACGGGG